CAGCAGGTACGGCCCCCCCAGGCTTGCCACGCTAAGCGCACAAGCTCCAGGCAGGCAGCAGCAGCATACACTGCCCTGCGTGGTAAACAGGGGTGCTGCAGCTGCTGCCACTGCATCACAACCCTGACAGGCAAGCCTGGAGCCGGCATGGGGCCAAGGCTGGCAACGGGGCTGGGTTAGAAGCTGGTGCTGGGCATGGGGGAAAAGCGACCCCTTGCCTGCCCCATGGTTGGCACCCCATGCTGCAGCTGCTCGCAGCCCATGTGGGGCTGCCTGTGCCTGCTCAGGACAGCCCCATGTGGGCTGCGAGCAGCTGTAGCAGGGAGCTCTGGGCACATGGTGGGGGAGGGGCCACTTTTCCCACACACTCAGAACCAGCTCCTTCCCTGCCAGCAAGCGGGGGGAGGGGGGGTGCCGCACGCTGTCCCCTGCCTGTACCACGGGGCTGGTGGGGCACTGGGAGTGAGCGGGTGCGGGAGCAGGGCCCGCACCCGTGTCCCAGGGCCAGAGCCAGCAGGGCCCAGAACAGGGCAGCCGGGGGAGAGGCTAGGGCAGCAGGGGTACAGGTTCCCAGCTAGCAGGGGCTCTATGGAGCCGGGCCAGCTCCTCCCTCTCCCTGCTGGTGCAGTGCAGCCCAGCTCCACAGACCCCTGCCAGCCTGTACCCTGCTTTGGGCCCCACCAGTGCTGGCCCTGGGACATTGGTCCCAAGACATTGGGACATTGGTCCCAAGATGGTGACCAGGGTGCAGGTCACCTGTCAAGGGGCAGGGCTACCCATGCAGCCCTTGACAGTTTGCCACAACTTGGTAAGTGGGCCTCCGCCCAAAATAATTTCCCGCCCCTGTTCCAAATCAATAGGATTGCTATTTACAATATCAATACATTAATGTAGCTATATTACTCATCTATAATTGATTGAGTACAAAATTCTGGGTTATTTTTGGTGAAAATAGGGTATCAGGCCTTGATTAAGGAACCAATCCCCCATTTATAACTTTGTTTCCTATGGGAAAATCGGTTCCGAGTTACAACGTTTAGACTTAAGACGGTTTTCAGGAACCAATTGTGTCACAAGTCTGAGGACTGCCTGTAGTTCTCCCAGCACCAGCCCACCCCATTAGCAGTTTTAAGCACTGTTGATCTAAACACAATTATTTCAGTTAAGTACTTTCCATTGCCCCTAATCTGGTTCAGGAAGCCTTGTCAAGAAAAGGTAGACACACAAAAGTATTTTGTGCATCAGTTTTCAGAGTTGATAACATCAACTCGAATTCCTTGGTGGTATGCAGGTGGAGTCCCCAAATCTTCACAACAAGGCTATTTAAAGGAAAACAATGAATGTTGAAGAAATATTAGGCAGCATTCAAGAACCTGAGATAGGGCAGCACCAAGCATATGCTCTACTTAATCCCAGGTCTACACACAAAATTTTACTGTATTTTAGTTAGATGTGTTTTTTTCATCAAACTTGAGCAGTAAAAGCTTCAGTGTGTAGCTATTTTTCCTCCTATAGTGGAATAATGATTTAGTATAAAGCACATTTATACATGTCTAACTTAGTTTTACTTTGTGCACTCTATGGGGATTGCACAGCTGTAACATTAGCATGTAACTATAGTCAAAGCAGTACAACTCTCTAGTTTAGGCAAAGTATAAGTCCTGCTTAAACCCTAATTTGAAGATAAACTTCTCAGTAGAAGATTGATTCTGCGACATAAACCATTTTATGCTAGAAAATGTTACCTGTAAAGTTTCTGCCAGCATAAAGGCAAAATGCATTCACATTTTGCTGCTTTTGCTGGTACAGCACTTTCTTTCAGTGACAGGCTTTATCAGCAAAAGATATACTGTGAATGGACTACCAATGTCACAAATGCATTGTCTTGTACACTAATTTGGGGGGATTTTTGCAATGCATTGTGGGATACTAGTATTCTCCTTGAGAGAGAGTAGGAGTTTCAGGTCAGGTTCCCACAATTCCTTTTGTTCCATCCCATATTCTACGCTTTCATGCTTGCTTTCAAAAATATCAAAAACCTCACACAATCTGCTCTTTCTCAGGCCAGTGCTCCCTCTCATTGCCAGAAGCTTGATTGCTGAACAGATCAGCAGAACTGTCATAAGTATTTTAGATACAGGGCTGCTTTTCCTGTATTTGCAAAACAGCAACCATGATCACAGCAACCAAAAATCAGAAAATTGTGGAGCAGTCAAGGATGTGGGCACTGAGTGAAAGTCAGTGTATTTTAACTCAGAGAAAAAGGAATCAATTTTCACAAAAAGAAAATGTTGCTGTTCAGTAATAAACACACACCAAAAGAAATGCAAAGTGGGATAAACACTCTGCTGCATCAAAAGTCACTGCAAATACACCTATTATTATTCTCCTTAATGTCCAGTAGAAGCAATATGCTGCCCAGCAAACTAGTACATTGAAAGGAGCCCATGCTGCAGGATCCAGGGCAACAAAATGGCCCACGCAGTTAATTGACTGCTGATTTATAGGCCCTTGGGTGTTCCACAATATTTTGACAAATAGGAGTGTATTTGCTTGATGCATCAGTCTGTCCTCTTGCCTCTGCTCTAGCATTTGTTTCCTGAATTCTCTGATTTTATGGGCTCTGGACTTCGAACTCTGAAGTAGTTCTGGGAACTTACATTTCTTTATTCATTTATTTTTCCTTCTTATCATGGTTAGTTTTATAGAAGATTTGGAGAGGGTTACCCTTAAGGATTCCACCGATGCTGATGAGTATATTGGGATACGTTTCAAACCAGTTAGCCATGCAAGGGCATGCCAGACAAGCATAAAGTGTAAATGCTGCTGAGCTTATTAAAACAGAACTTGGCATCCTACATTAATTTCTCACATATGGATGCCAAAGACCAGAGAAGGTAGCTACCTAAGGTACCTCAAAGTTGTCTGGGCCCATATGCTGTTGCGGTGATGGGATGTCACTCTCAGTGCTTATTGCAGAGATGTACTGAAGGTTTCTCACAGTTGAGAGGGAACTAAAGCTATTCTTTGAGAAATATGATCAAGGAGAATTTCAACAGAGTGTCAGGGGACAAAAATGACGTCTGGGTCAAGACGAACAAAAAGTTCCTCAATCAGAGAAGAACTGTGGTCACTGGTTAGCTCTGTGAACCAATCTAAGCCACCCCTCGAGCCAACAACAGTTTCTGCCTCTTTCCTGCATCCAAGTACAGCAGACAGAAAGCCTGGATCCAATAAATTTACATCTAGTCCGAGTATCCAGTCAGAGGACTGCCTGAAGGTCTTCTTGTGTATATTTTTACAGGTTTAATTTGAATGCCTAAGTGTTGGTTGGCAAGCTTCTTTGGGTAGATGTGACATCTATTATTAGACCAACTGAGTAGTTGTAACAAAGGTCTTTGCAAGCTTTCAGGCACAATCACCCTTCTTCAGGCATAAGGAGACACTGCCTATTTTTTTTAGGGGGGGAGGGGGTTAGGTATTAGTTTGCATTTGTTTCTTTTTCACAGTTTGGAAAACACTGAATTATATTTGCATGGGGTTTTTATTTCACTAGAACTTGTTTTCTACACAAAAACATTTTTACTTCAAATGCATCAGAGACTCATGCTATTATATACATTTGGGAAAGGGTTTTGATTATTTGAAGGATCCTTTCTTTTTGTTTTTCCCTATTACAGCTAGTGCCTGCTCTTAAATCAGCCAGTTACTTTAAAAGAGAATTCCTTTGTTCCCTGTCTGAAAAAAGTCAGCCTCCATTTTGACATGCAGGAAGGAGGAATAGTCATGCAGCATCAAAGGCCCTAAAGAGAAGTCATGTGGTGTATTTCAGTGGATAAATAACTAGTCATCCCCTTCCATTCCTCTGCAGGTTCTCTCTCTGGGTTCAACTGAGCCTCAAAGAGCTCCTGGCTATTAGTGGCCTCTGCATCCTTTCTGCCTTTCTCTCCATTGTGGGAGGCTTTCTTCCAGACACCATGAAGTGTCCACTGTCCATGATGATTTGGAGTAGGAACCCCACTAAGTATGTCATTTGCCTCTATACAATAAATAATTAAATAGCAGTCCTAGAGGACATTACCACATGCAGTGTTGGCTTCTTGCTGGTAAAACTGCCACTTCCCCATTTACTTGGCACCAGAAATCTTGTTTGTCATACTCCAGCTTCCTTGAAAATCCATAATTTCTTTCCTAAATCAGAAGATTTACATGCAGCTATAGCTTTGAGCTCACAAACGCAGACTGGGAAAAGAGAGGGATTTCCAAAACACTGGAAACAATTGTTATGACCTTGGACAGAGGGATTTAAAATTCAACCAAAACAGTCATTGTCAAAACAGTTAGTGTCATTGTGCTCTTGTTTCTGGAGGTGTGTTTGCAGAGATACAGGTAATGCAGCATCCACACAAGCATTGTGCTGGTGAACTAGTGCCAGTACAGTACTTATGCAAGCAGGGTAATTGATTTACCTGACCCACAGAAACTGAATGTTTCATCAGCAGGACTCAAATAGACTGTGGATGCACACAAGACTGTTATGGGAGGAGGCAAGTTTTACTAACATAATGTGCATAGCATTGACCATGCCTTGCACTTACCCAGAAATTAGAAACAAAACTATATTTTCTTCCCAGTATGTGTCCTATAAAAACTAACTAACATATACCCAATTCACTTGACTCTAGTAATTACCCAACTCTCACACATGTCCAAATGCAGTAACTGTGCTAATGAAAGTATATTCAGGCAAACAGGAAAACAAAAGGTTTCCCTGAGCATAGCAATCCATGAGCAAACAAGTTTCTCTATGCCAGTAGCACGCAAAGGGGTGATGTGGCTAACTTCACAGCCAGACACTATTTACAGCTGGGGTGAGGGGAGATCTAGACCTTTAGCGGGACACTTTGAGTGTTGTTGCCACTGCAACCCACTGGAAAATAAAATGGAGGCTCTTTAAAAATTTGGCCCTATAAACTTCAAGCTCAGATATTTTCACTTACCATCGTTTTGTCTTTCCATGTCCCCTTCTCTCACATTTCCTTGCTCTTATTTTTTTTCACACATCTCCCTTCTCTTTTCACATTCGGCGTCAGGAAGGGCAGCTTTTGAGGGGACAAATTAGCACAGCACTTTTCTGGCAAAGTCAGCAGCAGTGTCTCTAGTGATTTAAAATCATTTTTTAAAATAAGCTGCATTTCATGCCAGTGACATAACCAGAAGGTCAAATCCTTTGATTTTCAAATGCACTTTCCTTTTCTGCAGCTTAAAGCCTAAATTATCATATGCATGAACACCTAAACTGCAAAGAAGGACTGAGGTTTCTACACACAAATTCACTTAACTTTTGTTTTTTATAATTTATGGCAGGGTTGTACATAGCCCTAGATAGCTGATCCTTTTATTTATTTGTCTTTACAAAAAATATAAACAGGCAAATGATTTTATAACTATAAATAGAACTGGCCTCAGATATACTGCAAAATATGACAATTAAGAGTACAAAAACTGCCTGTAATGGACAACCAGACCATAAGTAAAGGAAAACATTTGCTGTACTGCCCTAAGAAAATTGTGACTCAAAGTGACTCTTCCCTCCATATTTCTAGGTTCTCTAAAGAGATCTATACCCCACACAGTGTGAACTGCTAAATGTGTTGGACTAACTAGGCTTTGCTCCCTTCCAAACCATACTGAAGTGCAAAGCCATGGGTGTACCACTCCCAACCCCACTCCAGCCCACCTGCACTGTACAAGAAATAGCGACACTGTGTAATGAATATGTGCTGCCATACTAACAGGTTCACAAAAGGGCAAAGTGAATATGGAGCCATTGGCTAGAGACAGACATTCAAAAAACCTTAGCCTGAATTGATTCAATTTTTGAAGGTTAGTCTAACCTGGCTAGGCTGAACCAGTTTGCAAGCGTACAGACATTCCCTCTGGACTGACAAAATGTGGGCATATGCCTACAGTGGCTCAGGCTAGCAGCCAGGGGGAGCTAAAGCAGCCCTCCCTTCCCTTCTACAGTGCTAAGCTGAAAGCAGGAGAACATGGTCAGGCCCCAGCAGGACGCTCTGATTAGGGAGGGGTTCCTTCCCCCTTGCTGGTCCTGACCAGGGAGGGAGCCAGCAAGCAGTTGATAACACAGTGTTTAGCACCCTATCAAGAAGACAAAAGCCTCCCACATGAGTTCAAGCTCTTCTTAAAACCCCTTTCCAAGGAAGGAGAGGAGGGATGTAACCCGCTGACCTGTTGATTCGCTCCAAAAAGCCTTAAGCATACACTGTCCTGTCTGCCTTTGTCCTGTCTACTATACACAGACACCTCTCAGCATTAGCTAGCATACCACATGCTGCCTACGTGTCCATGCTGTGGGAGGGGAGGGTGGGAATCCCTGCTTGAGCAGTGAGTGGGGGTGAGGGAGTGGGGCTCAGGGCAAACCAAGTCAACCCTGCTGTGCCTGCAGTCCCTTCTAGAGCTACAGCTAGGAAGTAGAGGGGCGGGGCCAGCCCTGCTCTGGAGCAGACAACCCAGCCCAGGACTGTAAAGCATCTGGGATGCTAGGGAACTCTGGTTTAATTTAAACCAGGAAGGGGTTTGGGACAGACATTGCATAAACTGGTTTGATACAAATCCATTAAGTCTGATACTACATTCAACCAGGTTTATCTCAAACCAGTTTCAGCCATTTTCAAACTGTTTTATGTGCACTAAACATCTGTTCTTTTACAGGTTTAAACCAGTTTCTGATCATTTAAACCGTTTATGTGTAAATGTCCATCCCTAGCCATTGACACCTAATCCAACAGACTTCCCTTTAAAAAGAATATCGTTAGGGGTATAAATTTAGCCACGAATTTCCATTTTTATGAATATAATATCTTTGAAAAGCACACTGCAATGCTTTGCTTTCATTTTCCTACAGAGCTGAAGTATTGTTTAGAGACATGTGATTACAAACTTAAGTTAAACATACTCTCAGTCTATTGCAGTTCATGCTATAATAAAAATATTACAAGAAAAGCCTCATAACTATTCTTAATATAGTATATAAAACAAAGCAAAGTGAGGCTCAATTCATCATACATTTACTCACAGGAGTAGTCTTGACTCATGTGAATCCTTCCAGTAATGAATGAGAAAGGGATTGGACCCTATTTAGAAGAAAAAATGAAGAATTATTTTTAAAAAAACCCTGCAAAGTCTACTTTCTAATAGTGAAATGAGTAATAAAAAGAGTCTGCCAATGTTTGACCCAGCATCATCTGATCTACTGGCACACCTATATAATAAATTTGGTTGAAATATTTCTTTTTTTTATTGCCTTGAAAATTTGAAATTCACAATTTGGAAATAAAAATGGGACCTTTTCATTTGCATATTTTCTCTTCTTTTACCTGATCTCTCTTTAAACAAAGTTATCTGAAAAAATTCATACCATTTGTTATTTATTGCAATTGTGGTATGCATAAAAAGAAAAAACACTAAAATCTAGGATTATAAATAGTAAATTTATAGCAGTCTCCATGTGGTTATGCTTCACAGGGTTTGAACAAAGATTTCCTCCCATTTTGATTCACCTAAATTCTTACCTGCTCCCCCAGCAAAATTATAATATCATCTCTGAAATCTGCAGCTGGTCCTTGAGTATAAAATGTGCCAACCGAAAACCTGGATTTGAATATACATGAAGCTTAGGAAATTCATCAGGCAGATTTGTTTGCAGCACAGGTCTGCCTCTATTTCAAAGTAGAAATCAGCCAAGGTTTGCTGTAAACTGTGTCCAGGCTTGCTTCAAGTGATCGTGAGCCTTAGTGGATCTTTGTGAGAACCTGGGCTGAATCTGTAAGAAATCTCCAGTCAAGGTGAGTTCAATATGTGTCCAGGTTTTTGTTACGAACGTTTCAGAGAGCTCTAGTGCTTCGCTTACATTTATCTAACCTGTCCTCTGGTGTGAGGCTTTGCAGCCCTCCCCCACACTGCAGTCCAGATAAATGTCTGACTGAACCACAGTCAATTGTGTCAATTTTAAACGTTTAGTAATAAAAATAAACTTGCTCAGGCAAAACCGACTGGGGGCTATTAGCTGGTATCTTTTGGCAGGGCTCAGAAATGAGCAAGCAAGCATTCTCATAGTATTATCTATAGCATTTTCTCTAAATTACAGTCAGGTCTATAAGTGCTTCCTGGAAGCTGCTCTTGTCTAAAAAAGATCTAAGATTTCACCTTTGTTTCTTCTTTTTGCTAATGAATTGAAGTAAAAACAAAAACAAATATATTTTAGGAACTTTTTAGGAAATAGCAAACAGTATCAGAATCAAGTTACATTTTTTGAAAACACATGCTTACATTTTTAAATAGAGATGGACACAAACCAAAACATTAGATCGGAACAAAGCCAAGCATGGGGGTGCTTGAAATCGCATCCAAATGCTGTGTGGCGTACTTCCATCTCAGGGCTGGATCTTCAGCAGGGGTATGCTAGCAGCATAGCTCCAGAAGAATCAGTAAAGCCGTGAGAGTCTGTCCCTCTGTGTAAAGGAATCCATGCTGACCATGAAGGCAGTTAGTAAATCCTACACAAGATGTTAAACTACAGAATCCTGCATGGTTACTTTGTCCCTGTACCTCACAGAATCATTGGAAACATTTTTTCCCCATTCTGAGTGCAGCATTTACAATACAAATAATAATTACGAAAAGGTTACATATAGCTCAGAAAATTATAATGAATTTATAGATGCAGTCTGATTCCTTTTTATGCTAAAGATGAAAAGACAGATGAAGAACATTATTGTTCTCTTTCTTGCAATTATGAAACCTTCATGCATTGAAAAATTCCACACGTTAACCTTTTGCATAGAAAGAGTCCCATTATGGCTAGGAACAGACATTACACACAAACTGGTTTAAGTGAACAGAAACTGGTTTAAATCTGTAACAGAACAGATGTTCAGTGCACTTAAACTGGTTTGAAAATGGCTGAAACTGGTTTGAGATAAACCTCGTTGAGTGTAGTATCAGACTTAATGGATTTGCGTCAAACCAGTTTATGCAATGTCTGTCCCAGACCCCTTGCTGATTTACATTAAAAGCAGACTCCCCCAGCATGCTCTCTAAGCTGGGTGGGGGTCTCTGCTCTGCAGCAGAAATGGCCCCTCTCCTGGCTGGAGCTCGGGAGAGAATATATATTTCTCTCTGTATATATATACACAGTATAGATATATACATATAAACTGCCCTGAGTTTTGATTCCTTTTCCCTCTAGACCAATACAGCTACAACCTGGATCCCCTGTAATTGATCATTTGTACATGAGTTCACAGCAATTCATATAGAATCACAGAATCATAGAAAATTAGAGTGGAAATGTATCTCAGGAAGGTATACCCACTGGTAGATAGGGGATGTTTCTGCTGCTGGTGTTTTTGTTACAGCCCAACGGCTTATGGTTTGTGTTACTGTTTATGCTGATGGTTTGGGTTGGGACTAAAAGGGGTAGTTATGGAGGTCCCATTAGTGCCCACAAGGGGCAGACTCAAGGCCTGAGGCTTTTGTTGAGCACGGAGAGGGGCAGGGTGCAGGAGCATGATGAGATAGTGGCCCAGTGCCAAAGGGGCACAGCCACATGGGGGTCATTGGAGGAGGGTGGGGGCAGAGACCCAGTGATTGAATGTGATAAATTGAAGTTAGTGCCTCAAAGCCAGGTCTGACACAGTGGGCCTAGGCTAAAAGGCATAGTGAAATTAAAAGGGCAGAGGCCAAGGAAGCCGAGGTCCCAACAGAGGGAATAATGTTACTATAACACTTGCAAGGCTTGGGTTGTGGTGTAGGGGAGGAATGGAACCACACAAATTGCTCTTCAGGCCTACTTAGCACAAAAGGTGCTTGACACTAGCAGGGTCCAGGAGGGACCTGGATGAATTGAGTGGACACAGGATCTTTCTAAGGCCCGTGGGCAGCCTCCCTTATTTAACTTCAATAACAAGGCATGACAGGTGAGCAGTTAAGGGGGGGCCACATTAGGGACAGAGCCCAGCAAAAGTCACATGGCCACCAGGGACCTTCACAGCCATCTCTTGGGCTCAGCTCTTCCACACAGTGCTTTGCTACTCTCTTCATGACAATTTTTCCTAATATCTAGACTCAACT